GAAAGTATGTTGCTCACTGAAAAGTAACTTAGTACCAAGCGTACTGGCGTACACCTTTAATCCCAGCACTCAGGAGGCAGAGGCGGGTGGATCTCTGAGTTCAAGGCCAGCCTGGTCTACACAGCGAGTTCCACGTCAGCCAGGGCCACACAGAGAAACCCTGTGTGTTGAAACAGAGAGAGAGACAGAGAGAGAGAGAGAGAGAGAGAGACAGAGAGACTGCTTGACTTGAGCAGGGGAGAGGAGCCCGTGAGACTCTGAGCCCAGTTGTAGCCTCCACAAGACAGGGGGTGTGGTGGGCGGAAGAAACCTGTTAGAGGATACGCCAGCTTGCGGCTTCCCAGATGGCAACGGAGGCACAGAAAGGGGCTGTCCAGGCTTCTCCTTCATTCCCGGTCTACACACTTCTGAAACAATCTCACCCACACATCTACAAGCTGGTAACATGAAAGTGTCTGGTTTTTCAACACAGATGGAGGGCTGCCTTCGGAGCCCCAAACCCGGCTTCCTCAGCTCTCTCGTCTTTGGCACGGCGGCTTTGAGAGTGCCTTCGGTATCAAAAGCCAGCAGGGAGTGGTGGCAGGAGAATCCTGAGTTCTGGCCAGCCTGGGCTACACACACAGGGCTACCCTGCCCTTGGAAGGAACTTCCAAGCTCCAGGAGTCAAGAATGCGGCTATTCCCAGCCCTCTGTTCCTGGAAGGTAGCCTTTAACTCATCAGTGACCAGCGTCCTTTCCCTGAAGTCCTCACCTGACAGCTGATGCTGCCCACTCAGAACAGCCTCCCGTGTGTACAAAGAGGACTCAGGACATCAGTAAGCCTGGCCATTAACTGGGAGGCTAGGGCCACCCAGTATCAACCTGACCTCTGTAGGCTGCAGACGATCCACTGACTGTAGGGACAGCTAGTTTTTATGTCAGTCTGACACCACCTGGGGTCACTATGAAAGAGAGAACCTCAGTTAAGGAAATGAGCTCAGCAGACTAGCCTGTGGTACAGTTTCTTGATCAATATGGGCGGGCTCAACTCACTGGGAAAGGTGCCACCCCCCACACATACAGCAAGGAGCCTAAGCAAGCCAGGAGGAGTAAGCCAGTAGCCGGCACTCCACCAGGACCTCTGCTCGAGAGCCTGCCTCCAGGTTCCTGCCCTAGCCCCCTTCAACGACGGACCGTGATACAGAGACGCTGTAGCCCCCTTTAACGACGGACTGTGATACAGAGACGCTCTAGCCCCCTTCAACGATGGACCATGATACAGAGATAGGCTGAAATAAACCCGTTCCTCCCCAAGTTGCTCTTGGTCACGACGTTTCGTCACAGCAACAGTGACCCTAAGACACTCGTCTACGTGAAGCTTAAATGAGCTGTCCTGGCTGGCATCAAACCACACACCGGCACCCAGAGGGTACTTCAACCTTGATGGGGAAGTCCTGTGTATATGTCAATAAAACACTGTTGACCAATAGGGAAGCAAGATAGGTGGGACTAGGCGTCCAGGAGGACTCTGGGTAGGAGAAACACAGGGAGTCATCATGTAGCCCGCCAGAGAAGTAAGATGTCCGTACGGTAAGAGAAATACTTAGATTAACAATTATGGGGTAAATACTTAAGTCAGAGCTAGCCAGTAAGAAACAAGCAAGGCCAACGGCTCCATATTAATATAGCCTCCTGTGTGTTCATTTGGGACTGATGCGGCTCTGGAACCAGGCTTGTGGGAAGGCTTGTCTCTACACAACCTGAGCTTGCAAGGAAGGGTGGTGGATACTTGGGGCGTTCTAGACTACCTACGTCTTCCCCTTTAGCTGATTCTGTCCTGTATCTTTTTTATTTTTATTTTTTTATTTTTCGAGACAGGGTTTCTCTGTATTGTTTTGGAGGCTGTCCTGGAACTCGCTCTATAGACCAGGCTGGCCTCAAACTCACAGAGATCCGCCTGCCTCTGCCTCCCGAGTGCTGGTGTTAAAGGCATGCGCCACCACCGCCCGGCCTGTCCTGTATCTTTACGTCAACTTCAAGTCCCTGAGCTCTGGGAGTCATTTTACCCTACTGCTCATCCTGAATGGTTAGTGGATTTATGGCCAACCACACTCAGAGGTGACAGCTACTTGGGGGATCCCTCAATCTGAGACTGGCTTTTCGAAACTGGGTCATCCCGGCTGGCCTGGGCCTGTGCAAACCAGGCTGGCCTCGAACTCAAGACACTCAACTGCCTCTGCCTCCCGAGTGCTGGGATTAAAGGTGTGTGCCGCCACCGCCGCTGCCCAGCAGCAACTAGAGTCTGCGAGAGTCAGGGCGGCTCTGCCGAGGGCTAGTTCTCCACCTGGAGAGATGTCACTGTGCACAGGTGACAGACGCAGCTAGCCAGCCACCAGGCTGATCCCAGGAGACACTGGGCTGTCACTATCTTCCTGCCCTGTCAAGTGACCTTCTGCAAAGATGGCGAAACGTCCTTCCAAATCAACTTCCTAGAAAATTCCGACCCCACCCTCTTCTCCCCAACGCCTTCTGGCCTCTGAACCCTACGTGATGGGAGGGCAAACTCAAGCTCCCAAAGGAGGCGCGTCAGAGTGGAAGTCTTTGCAGACCAAGGAGCCCATGGACGGCTGTAGACCCACAGCCAAATCGTCTCCTGCTGTCTTTAACCTTTATCCCCAATCTCTCCACCCAACCTCGGACGTCTCTCTAGCAGGTGGAACTTCTGGCACGCCCCCACTTATAGCAAAACCTGCTAGCGTCTCCCAGATCCAAAACTAAGAGCGTCATCGAGCAGCATCTGGAACCCACAGCGGAGATCCCCCCCCCCAGCTTTGCTGTAATCCATGACTCAGATTTCTACTGCTGTGATAAAACACCACCACCTCACGCATCAATCCACCAGGAAGGGAAGTCAGGGCAGAAGCTGAGGCCACGGAGGGGGCGCTGCTGGATGGCTTACTCAGTCTGCTTTCTTATGTAACCAGGGACCACCTGCCTAGAGATGGCACTGGGCTGAACCCTCCCACGTCAACCGTTAATCAAGAAAATGCTCCGGAGACTTCCTGGCAGGCCAGGCTGTTGGAGGCATCTTCCCAAGTGAGGTTTCCTCTTCCCAGATGACTCGAGCTTGTGTCAAGTTGACAAAAAACAACAAAACCTCTGCATCCCCACCCAAGTATTTGGGCAAACGCATTGATTTAGGATCCCTCCGATCTGTGACCACAGAAGTTCCCATAACCTTTTCCGCAGCAGCATGTGTCACCTGAGCAGCATGACCCCGAATCCTGGCCATCTCACTCACACTTGGCTCGAAATAATCCATCTCTCATTCCTTAATATGCTCACGGATCTGGCCCCCATGCCTCCTCCTCCCCGACCCTGGGCCTGCCAACTTCAATCCTGCTTTGGAGCCGAGTCCCTGAGATTGCCTCTACTCTTTTTTTTTTTTTTTTAACCACGCAGGTCCTGGTCCTCGCCATCTTACCCCTGAGGAGCCCCTAGTCACTCCCCACCTGCTTTGATTTTCCTTTCTGATTTCCGCCCCTCTCATGACAATTAAGTCTCCTTCAATGCCCGGATTCTCTGGCCTAGAGCAGGGCTGGCTCACAGAAGATAATCGCTCTCTGGATATCCTAATTGGATATTCGGGTCTCACGGAATCCACTGAACAGGATTAACTCAGCGGTGGGCTCTGGCTTTGTTCTGCCCTCCTCAATCCTTTCTCCACGCCACAGCCGGAGGAGACGTCTCTCTAGTGAGGCGCTGCAGCCTGGTTAGCCAGCACAGGGCTCCCCGCTCGCCCACAGGCCTTTCTGTCTGATGGGAGCGAACTCGGTTCACCCTCACCCCCCCCCCCGTCTGTTCCCCCGGCAGCGCCGCGTTGGTGCATCCAAGAGAAAACCCTCCCTGACCCTCCTGTGGGCCACCATCTAAAGCCTAGCCTGTATCCTTCTCAAGTATCTATCACCCACATGGAGGAAGGGTCTTGTCTTGTTCGTTGGCGCCGATGCCGCTGAGCTCAGTGCCCGCAGCTGTCTGATACTTATTTACTCCGTTTAGTACCCAACACAAGCTGAGGCCTTTGCTGGTCCCCCCCCTCCACGTTCTCCACGGAATTTTGCTCAGGGTTACCCACAAAACAGGGACTCGGCCCTACTGAAAACACAGCACAATGACCGCTCCGAAACCGGTGAAAGTCAAGGGTCCCCGGGCATCCTGGTGAGGGAGAACGGTTCCTGAAGGATGAGAGCAAGGCCATTCATAAACGGCTTGACTTAGTACTTTACCATTAGTTATAAGTCTTCCTGCCATACTTCTACTAGCATTTACTTTGGCTTACATAGTCCCATAGAGGCACTTTAGCCCTTATTCAAAATAAAGATGTCAGTGTTCATAAAGAAGCATTATCTGGGGCTGGAGAGATGGCTCAGCGATGATGCGTCCCAGGCTAGCCTCAACTCTCAACCCTTCCGCCTCTGTCTCCCTGGTGCTGGGACAATGCAGGTACCGCCACACCGAAACTCATCGGATTATACAAACTTGGATGCTATTTTCTAAACGATGAGCATGTAAGTCTTTTTATCGTTGGGTCAAAACCCCTTTTCAAAAATCCAGCATTCTTTTCGTCTTGGGGGAGGACAAGGTCTCATGTAGCCCAAGCTGGCCTTTGAGTGCTTGCCTTCCCTTTTGCCACCTGAACACCGGGATTACAGACGCGCAGTGGTTAGATTCTCTCTCAAGGTTAAACCGTGTGGCCTTGGTCATTAATCCACACGGCTAACTACTGGGGAAACAAGTGAGCCGATAGGGAGCCGGGCGTTGGTGGCGCACGCTTTTAACCCCAGCACTCGGGAGGCAGAGGCGGGCGGATCTCTGTGAGTTCGAGGCCAGCCTGGTCTACAGAGCAAGTTCCAGGACAGCCTCCAAAACAATACAGAGAAACCCTGTCTCGAAAAAACAAAAAACAAACAAACAAAAAAGAAACAAGTGAGCCGATCGTGTAATAACAAAGTAGCCCATACCTTGATATTGGAAAACCACAGGTCATTCTCATGCAGGGTGGCCAGGTAGACGGACGTAAGAAGTCCAATGCCAAGGGCCAGGAGTCCACCAACCACAGACGACAGGGTCTTCCAGAACCTTCCAGAGGCACAACCTTTTACAAGAGGGAAACACATCAAACAAGAATATAGAAGTTGGGGCAGGTGAGACAGTGCCACCGTTAAGACCACCGGCTGTCCTTGCAGAGAAGGCCTGAGCGGGGTTCCCAGCACCCACGTCAGGCAGTTCACAACCGACTGCCTGTAACTCCAGCTGCAGGGGATCTGATGCCCTCTTTTGGCCTGCGTTTATAGGAGTGACTTACACACAGACACATAGGAAGAATGAAAATAAATTTCACAGAAACAATACAGCACTGCCCAAAGGACAAGCTAACTAGGAAGAGTACAAATATGGGAGGTTTAAGGGTAGTAAGGAAGGATGAATATTCCAGTAGGGAACAGATTAAGGGCATAGGTAGGCAATGGACAAAAGGAAAAAATGGCCAATAAATGTAACAGACAGAAGAGAACATGTCAAAATTCATTCAAATTCTCTAGCATTGGCAAAAGAATGAGCTGTACTTAAAAAAATACTTGTTGAATATGGAATTTAAAATTGGTAATACATGAGCTGGGGCATGGCTCAGTGGTAGAGCCCCTGCCTAGAATCCCCCAGTGAGGGGATGGGGGTGTGGCTCAGTGGTAGAGCCCCTGCCTAGAATCCCCCAGTGAGGGGCTGGGGTGTGGCTTAGTGGTAGAGCCCCTGCCTAGAATCCCCCAGTGAGGGGATGGGGGTGTGGCTCAGTGGTAGAGCCCCTGCCTAGAATCCCCCAGTGAGGGGATGGGGGTGTGGCTCAGTGGTAGAGCCCCTGCCTAGAATTCCCCAGTGAGGGGTTGGGGGGTGGCTCAGTGGTAGAGCCCCTGCCTAGAATCCCCCAGTGAGGGGCTGGGGGTGTGGCTCAGTGGTAGAGCCCCTGCCTAGAATCACCTAGTGAAGGGGCTTGAGGGTGTGGCTCAGTGGTAGAGCCCCTGCCTAGAATCCCCCAGTGAGGGGATGGGGGTGTGGCTCAGTGGTAGAGCCCCTGCCTAGAATTCCCCAGTGAGGGGTTGGGGGGTGGCTCAGTGGTAGAGCCCCTGCCTAGAATCCCCCAGTGAGGGGCTGGGGGTGTGGCTCAGTGGTAGAGCCCCTGCCTAGAATCCCCCAGTGAGGGGCTGGGGGCATGGCTCAGTAGTAGAGCCCCTGTACAGTATGACCAACACTGCAAGAGAGATAAATGGTAATGGAGCTGAAAACTGCTTTGGAAATGGGCAGGCTGGTTTTTATATCAAATTGACACAAGTTGGATTCAGACGACAGGAGGGAACTTCACTTGAGAAATTGCCCCCGTAGGATTGGCTGCAGGCCAGTCTGTAGTGGAGTTTCCTAAGTAGTGATTGATATTGGCAGGCCCAGTCATTCTGAGCCGTGCAACAGCTGGGTCCTGGGTTCTGTAAGGAAGCAGGCTGAGCTAGCTGTGAGGAGCAAGCCAGTGAGCAGCTCCCCTCCATGGGCTCTGCATCAGCTCCCGCCTCCCGGTTCCTGCCTGCTTGAGTTTCTACCAACATCCTTTGGTGATGAACACGGATGTGGGAATGTTAGCAAAACAAACCCTCTCCCCCAAAGCTGCTTTTGTTCATGCTGTTTCATCACTGCAATAGTGACCCCGACTAACACAGAAATGGATTTAAAAAGTAAACAAACTTCTTTCGGGCTGGAGAGATGGCTCAGGAATTAAAAGCACTCGTTGCTCTCACAAAGGACTGGGGTTCCGTTCCCAGCACTCACATGGTGGCTTAAATCGTCTGGACTCCAGTTCCGGGAACCCAGCGCCCTCTTCTGCCCTCCGAGGGCACCAGGCACATGCGCAGGGCGTACTTATGGAAAGGTGGAGGACACGGTAAGGGCAGAACAGCAGCTTCCCAAACAGCACGTGGATCTTGCTCACCACATACGACTGCTCAGGGGCAACCGTGTGCAGACAGCGACAGACATTCAGACAGCAAGATGAACACGGTCGTCTGAGCTACTCTCAGGATAAGGAAGTTGGTGAAACGGCGTTTCCTCCTTTTTTAAAATTTGTCTTTAATGTTCAGGGTTGCTTTTCTTTCTGACATGATTTCATAAAACGGGCAATCTTTTTTTTTTTAAATTAGTAACAGAATAAAACAAACCAAAACGGGGCTGGAACAATGCCTCAGCAGTTTAAGAGCGCTTAATACTCTCGCGGAGGAGCAGGTTCAGTTCCCCATCACCTACACGGTGGCCCATAACCGACTGGAACTCCAGTCCCCAGGGACCCAATCCCCAAGTCTGACCTTGGTGGGCATCAGGCACACTGGTGAGTGCATACACACACACACACACACATACACACATACACACACGCAGGCAAAACACTCATATGCATAAGAATAAATAAATTCATCTTTAAAAACAAACAACCCAAGGGCTGAGGCAGCAGCTCGGTGAGTAAGGGCACTTGCTGCCAGACCTGAGGACCCGAGTTTGATTTCTGCAATACAGAAGGTGGGAAGAGAGGACAGACCCTTGCTAGTTGTCCTCAGACCTTCATATACGTACACTGTCCAGCTACCACACATACAAGGTGAATAAATAAATAAATAAATGCAATTAAAAAAAGGCACGCTCTAACACAAACTTTAACTGCATAGCGTCATCAGAAACTACTCCAAGTTACCTAGCGTGCATCGATTGGCTCCGATCAACTTAGCTGAGTGGCTTGGCTTTCCAACACGGACGTCTTTTGTCATATTAAAACAGCTTTTCCTGCTACCTATTAGCTCTGGCTGCTAAGGACTCGTCTAGCTGCAAAGGATTAATGATGTCTGATACCGGAAATGGCTGACATGTGTGTGCAGTTTTTCACGCTAGCCTTTAGATTTTTGGCCACGTTTGATTACAAAATGTGACCGGGGTCACTTAGCGACTGTTCAACATTATATAAACGGTTTTTTTTTCACCAAGTTCTCATCTCCCTTCCCCCCCTATTCCTACCTGCCCCCCAAAATAAAGCAAAGGCGAGAACTTCAGGAATTTGAATATAAAACGCTAAGTGTCTTTTTCAGCGACTATAATACAAGTACAGCACACGCAAACCAGAGAAGGTACTAGAGAAAGAGATGGTCAGGTATGGACAGGCAAAGCATCACCCTCAAGAGCCAGGGACCAGATGACATTGCCACCATAAGTTAACCGACAGACAACCTACTAAGGACTCTCATCAAAGCTCTTTTCCTGATTATAGCTGAAAAGCCAATATAACCAGAATATCTGGGAGCTGAAACAAGTGTCCTTTATCCTATTAGAGTGTGGCATATGTTAACACGCAGAACCAAAAGCACTCCAAAAAAACGCTGCTTTAGCTCAAATCACCTACCAGATGGCAACTTCTTTCCCAACTTCACATTTTCTTTTGGTGACGGAAAGTCCTCAGCGACTTCTATGGTTTTGGTCTCTTTCCTTTGCCGGATGTACATCATGATGTCCAAAGATGCATGTACATTGTCCTTCCAACCACTCCTACAAACAGGACCCAGATGAATGACCCTCGGACACGCCAGCACCCTCTTTACCCCAAAAAACACCCTCAGGTTCTTTTTTTTTTTTTTTTGGTTTTTACGAGACAGGGTTTCTCTGTATTGTTTTGGAGGCTGTCGGTCCAGCCTGGCCTCGAACTCACAGAGATCCGCCTGCCTCTGCCTCCGAGTGCTGGGATTAAAGGCGTGTGCCGCCACCGCCCGGCCACCCTCAGGTTCTTATATGCTGAAATGGCTTCGACTCGAGTCTCCTGGTAGACCCTCCCATGCAAATCTTGAGCGGCCTTTAAAGACGCAACACAGACATTTTGACTCAACCGTATTTGTGAAGCACCTGCCCTCCAAGCAGGCATTTCCAGGAGTCACAGGAAGCCCAGCCTTTCTTGGATGCTCCAAGTCCTGTGGTATTTGCCCCCCCTTCCCCGCGCCCCAGAATCTGTAACAGTAACCATGCGATTTGTGGTGTGACACAGTTTTACATCATCTACTATTCCTACAGAAAACAGTGGGTCTGGTTCATTCCCACAGAACTGACCACGCGGGAGGGATTCCTCGTAAACTTGGGGAGGTCCAGACTTTGAAGAACCGAGACATTGTTTCTGAACCCTGAGTCTTTCAGCACCTGTGTTCCTTGAAAACAACCAGGCTAAGCTGTAAAAAGTCTCAGTGTCAAAAGGACAGCGCCAGCCTGGCCGGTGCTGGGCCCATCAGGGTGGCTGCTCTCCCCTGAGGAGCAACAGTAGGTGTAGCCGTGGGAGAGCGGTTACCTAGTTTGGAAGCTGTTGAGGGGGAGGCGGGGGTGTGGTGGCACTGAGTCAGCTGGCTTCAGTCGTCCCCCCCCCATCCCCAGAACATCTTGCCTAGCTCCTCTGAATAATGAACAGCGTTTTACTAATCATCAATTAAAGATGAGGAGTAGCGAGAACGGCGACTGTCTCTAGGCAGCTAAATCCAACCTGCACCCGAGGTACCAAAAGTCCATGTTCGCCTGACGTTGAGCCAACGGGGCAAGCCGACAGCACACAACGCTTTTGCTGAGATCCGTTCGTTCAAAATTAGTGAGAAGGAACGCGGATCTTAAACGCCGTCCCTCGAAGCACGAGGAACGAAGGAAGCGAGGGCGGGATGGAGAGGGGTAAGAAGGGATCTCTGCAAAGTCTTGCAGCCACGGCTGGGGATCCCTGTCCCATCCTTGGGGAGTCACGCCCTGCTAGCCCTGGGGGCGGGGGAGGCAGGGGCTCTGGAGGGCCCACCGTGCATGCACACCCCCCGGCTGAGCCTGCTGATGAGGCAAGAAACTTTAACAAGCACGCCGGGGTGCTGAGGATGACACGGGGCTGGCTGGCTTGGCTGGCAACCACCCCCACGGACTGGGGAAACGAAAAAAAAGTTGCTCCGGCCAGCGGGACGCAAAGCCCCCGGCCACACTTTACGCAGGCAACGCCAGGACAAGCCGATCGGGATGCTGCGCCGCCGCCGCCGCCCACCGTGCACCTTGGGGACAACTCCCCTGCGCGCCCGGCGAGCCCACGAGGGGGTCCAGGGGCCGGCCAAGCCCGGGGGGACGTCGAGGCACCAGCTCCCGCTCGCCCAGACGTGCTCCCTCCCACGCCCCTCCTTCCTCCCGCCCGCCCGCCCACCCGCAGCCACGGCTCGCCCAGGTCCCCTCGCGGCCCGACCCGCAGCCACAGACCTGCGGGCCTCGGCCGTCCTCGCGGGCGGCTCCGGGATTCGGCGAGGAAGCAAGCACGCCGGGGCACCCGGGGGCCTTGGCGGGGGCGGGGGTGGCGGCGGGGGGGACCCGGAGGACCCAGCGGCCGGAGACTCTAACTGAGGCGCGAGGCGGCGAGAGGCTGGGCCTGGGAGGGAGGGAGAGAAGGAGGGGGCGTCTACAATCCCTGGAAGGGGCGCGCCGGGGAGGCCGGGCCGCTGCCGCTGCATTCATTGGTCCCCGCGGCTGTCCGTCAAGGCAGGGCCCCGCCCCCGCCTCCCCGCGCCGGCCCCGCCCGGTCTCGTGCGGCGCAGGCCGGAAGGAAGAGGCGCACTTCCGCTCGGGGAGTCGGGGGGGTGGGATGGGGGTGGTGGGACGGCTTGCTGGGCGTGCTGCGTTCGGAGCTTGGCCGGTTTCTGTCCTCGGAGGACCGGTCCCCGGGTCTCGGGGCGGGGCGGAACCTGCAGGCTCGCCCCGGCCCCGCCCCCGCCGTTGATGCTCTGGGCTTCCGCTGGTATGGAGTCCCTGGCCAGGGGCTACCCTCGTCTCCGGACGGCTTCTCAGCCCCTTTTTCTCCTCTCTCTGAAGCAGGGTCTCGGTGTGCTGCGGACTAGAAGACGCGGGCGCTCCTGTACCCCCAGGCCGAGTCTCTGGTAACGGAGGATGGGCCTCTGGCGTCGGTGCCTATGGAAAAGGTACCAACGAGAATTGGCCTCACCCACCCCGCTGGGTATTTTTCCCCCTCTCAGTTACCCGTCTCAGCCCAGCCAGGTCTCGGTCTCCTGCGGATGTCAACCGTGGATACCAAGAATACACTTTTCAGAGTGCTCTCTTATTAGACGGGGTTTTCTCCCTCTCCCTTTAATTAAAGGGACTTAGGGGGAAGGAAAACAAAACGAAACAAAACAAAATGTAAGAGCTGTGTCCCTTAGAGGAACAGTAACCAGCTGCTTGTCTGATTTCTGAGTGGGGAAAATAAATAAATAAAAAGGAGAGGAAAGATGACTGCTCCTAGATATAGTGGAGGAGGATTTTTTTTATTATTGTAGATAAAATACTGTAGGGCAGAGGCAGGGACGTCAGAATGGTCATGCCCTGAGCCGGGTGGGAAGACGGGGAGGGGAAGCAGGGGCAGCAGCCACCAGGCCCAAGGATACAGAGAGAGTGGGCAACCAGAATGGTTGGATGAGATAAGGACTTGCAGCCCAGCTGCCCGGGCTAGAGAGCTCGGGGTAGAGAGCAGCTATGCCAGCCAGGAGGGCGCTGTAACGGGTAGGGCCAGAGGGATGGCAGGAGAACCTGGCAGCCAGGTTCGCTTTGATGTTGTTAAATAGGCATGGTAGCTGTCAGCCAGGGGTCTGAAGCCTAACGATTTCCATAACGGGAGGCAAGAACTATCCCAAGAGCATCGAATGGCAGTCCTGCTCATAGGAAGTAAGGCACCTGCTGCAGAGAGGTCCTATATGGAACGTTCCAGTAGTTCTCACACCTAGGAGGCTGCAGCAGGAGGATTGGCAAACCCAGGTCTTGCCTGGGCTACATGCGGAGAAGCACAATACTGTCACAACCATGTATGATAAGGGAAGCAGAACAGAAGAGGCCCGGGGAAAGGAAAACAATCTCCCATCCCAGAGCTAGAGGAAGCCTCTCCCCAGCTGCAGGCAGGAATCCCAGCACACAGAACTTGCTGTAAACTAGAGGTTGCAGATACAGACATGATGTTTCTCTCATGGATATAGCTACGACCCGGGCTTAAGACCCAAGTGTGTTTGATCTCTGTTTGGGTCTCATTCATCCCCTCCCCCCCAGACAGCTGGGAATCTCAAAGAAGACACATAACGCTTGTTTGCAGTAAAGGTATCCTACCTTGGGCCTGCAGAGGTGGCCCGGCGGTTAGGAGCACTTGCTGCTCTTACAGAGGACCCATTCCAGGGGGCCTAATGCCCTCTTCTGATCCCCGAGGGCACCAGGTATTCACGAGGTGCACATACTTGCAGGCAAACACACATAACAAAACGTAAGCAAGGGGCTAAGCAGTTAAGGGCTTGGGCTGTCCCTCTGGAAGACCTCCCTTAGATTCCCAGTACTGGTCCTGGCAACTCCTGTCCCCGGAGCTCTGATGCCCTCTTCTGGCCTCAGAGGGAGATGCATGCGTATGGTGCAGAGCCATATAGGCCTAGCTTAACATAAATCTTTAAAAATTTTTAAAGGGTACTAACTTGGGTGATAGCCACAGAGGTGAAGAAAACTCAGCACGACCTGGGAAATCTAGGTGCTCTATGAACCTGGAGTCAGTGGGGGTGCCTGTACAGGATACGCAGGAGGAAGCGATGGGGCCTCTAGGTCTCTGACTTGAGCCGTCAGGCCCGTGGGATACACCAAAAGAAAAGCGGGCTGCCGGGCGTTGGTGGCGCACGCCTTTAATCCCAGCACTCGGGAGGCAGAGGCAGGCGGATCTCTGTGAGTTTGAGGCCGGGCTGGACCGACAGCCTCCAAAACAATACAGAGAAACCCTGTCTCGTAAAAACAAATAAATAAATAAATAAATAAAAAAGAAAAGCAGGCCTGGGGCTTGTGGCAACGTGAAGGGGGTTTTCTCGTGGGCAGAGGTGGTTCTGTCCAGGGTCGACGCAGGTACCAGTCAACGCCGACCTGCAGCTGTCTGATGGGCCACTGTGTAGCTGGCCAGTTGCCGCTTGCGGGACGTTCTCCACAGGCCGTTGGGAGTGCCTCAGGACATAAGCACTGCACTCTGGGGCTTCTGAGGCGTCTAAGAGAGGGAGGGCAAGGAAGAGAAGAGCCAGCCGTATCCTGCGCTAGGCGTGCAGACAGGAAACGGTGGCCTTCTCCCTTTTCCAAGTTCACCCGGTCTGGACCTGGGCCTGGGGGATGGGACCGCACACCTTCAGGGCAGATCTTCACACCCAGTTAACCCTTTCTCCAAGACAGACACGCCCGCCCGGGCATCATCAACCGCCTCCATGCACCCACGCCCTGCTTCTTTCTTCCTGTCCTTGCAGAGAGCGTGCCTCTCTGCACATCCTCCCGCCACGATGACCTTCCCCCTCCGAGGACTGTAGAAGCCGCAGAGCCAGGAGCCAAAACAAACACATCCCTCCCTTAAGGTGTCCTTGCGGGTACTGTAGCCCCAGCGGTGGAAAGCTGACTCATACAATATCACACCGTCGGGCTCATGAGGCTACGGCACAGGATGGTCCGGTGTCAGCCTTCAGCTGGATCGTTCACCCAGGGGAGGATTTTATTATAGAGACTGCCTCGGCAGCCTATGGAGAGAGCCCCGAGAGTAGCAGCCGGCCTCTGGCCAGCCGCCTGCCAGCCATGGAGTGAGCTGTGGTGTTAGCACATCTGACAGCTTAGGTCAGCTTTGGCGGACATCAGGATCCATCCCGGGCTGATCCATCTCTGCCCATTGCTCAGACATCGGAACTCTGAGGACAGCAGATGCATGCTGCCGCCGCCGCCGTAAGGGGAGTAGGCTTGGGGGAGTGTTACACAGTGACAGTACTAATCACCCACCTGGATATGTCATGATGTAGGTATTCCCCCTGGGCTAGACAGCTAGGTTGTTTCCGATGTGTGTGTGCCTGGTGCCCCAGGAGGTCTGAACAGGAGGTCCTTGGATCCTCTGGAACTAGAGTTACAGACAGTTCTGAGCCACCACGTGGGTGCTGGGAATCAAACCCAGGTCTCTGCAAGGGCGGCAGGGGCTCTTCACCACCTCGCCACCTCTCCGGCCTCTGCCTTTTTGCTGTTTTTGAGACAGGGTCTCGGTAGCTCATGCTGGCCTGGGACTGTCTCTGTAGACCAGAGTAGACTCCAAGACCTACCTGCCTTTGCTTTTCCAGCGCTAGGTTTAAAGACTTGTACCACCATACTGTTTCTGGTTTTATGGAATTTTAAGCAGTGCTGCAAAAATATTCTTAGACATATAAAATCCTTTAGGAAATGTTTCTAGAAATAGAACAGAAAGAACCCATGTTCTCATTTGTGATATAAGTTGGCAAACTACCCTCCAAAAGGACGAACGCTTCCATTGCTGTAATTTGTATTACCAGTTTGTATTACAGCTCAGGTTTCTCTGTACCTCAGCCAACAGTGGACATATTTAATCTTTGCCAGTGTTAAATGGGAAATAATATGTTATTATCTCATGGGATCTTGAGGGGTGGGGGATGGCCTGTTGGGGATAGCGCATAAGACTTTGCACATGCTGGCAAATACTCTACCATGTATTTATAGCCTAACACCCCCAGTGTCTTCTTTTTGCAGCAGGACCTTCAGCAGGACCTTGAATCTGGTTTATAGCCCAGGATAGCCTTGAACTCATCATGTAGTCCAGGCAGGCTGTGAACTCTGGATCATTCTACTCATTCTTCTAAGCCCTGGGGTTATAGGCATGTGCCACCACGGCCCTGTATATTTTATTAGGCAAAGGTGATGATATCAGGGGTTTTAATTATTTATTTATTTATTTTTACTATGATCAATCTTTTTATACTCTTTGTCCTGCTCAAAGTGTTTAATGCCTAGAAATTATCATTTGTTTGCTGTGAATGTTTGTCATATATATCACAGATAGCTTCCCATTATTATCCATTGTGTGTCTTTTGCTGTTTAGGCATCCCCTGGGTTTATATGATTAAACCTGTTATTTGTTTATTTATATGCGCATTGATGTTTTGCCTGCATGTATATCTGTGCATGTGTGTTGGGATTCCCTGGAGCTGGAGTTACAGGCAGTTGTGAGGTTCCATGCGGGTTCTAGGAATTGAACTCAGGTCCTCTGGAAGAGCAGCCAGTGCTCTTAATGGCTGAGCCAACTCTCCAGCTATCATAAATCTGTTACTCTTTTAGCTCAAAATATATACACGTTCTCTCATTCCAACATCAGTTTTTCTTGAGTCCTTTTTTCTAGTAATTTTAAATATAGGATCTTAGAGGGGGGGGGTGTAGTAGTTCAAGACAGGGTTTCTCCATGTAGCCCAAACTGGCCTGGAAATAACTCTTTTTTTGTTTTGTTTTCTGAGACAGGGTTTCTCAGTATAGCTTTGGAGCCTGTCCTGGAACTCGCTCTGTAGACTAGGCTGGACTCAAATTTGCCTCTGCCTACCAAGTGCTGGGATTAAAGACATGCACCACCACTGTCTGGCTTCAGAATATTTTTCATATGGAATGAGAATTGTAACAATCTTTTTCTAAGTGTACAATTTTTTCATGACCCTTACAGTGATGCTCTAAGTTACTTATACTGCATAATAATTCTCACAGGTTTACAGCCAGCTTGTGAACTATATCTGAGTATTTTTAAACCCAAATTATGTTCTCTTTTCAAAAAGAGTTTATTTTAGTGTGTGTGTGTGTGTGTGTGTGTGTGAGAGAGAGAGAGAGAGAGAGAGAGAGAGAGAGAGAGAGAGAGAGAGAGAGAGAGCAGAAGAGGGCGATGGAGTCCCCCAGAATGAGAGTTAAAGGCAATTGTGAGCTGCCATGTGGGTGCCTTAGACCAAACCTGGGTCCTCTACGGGAAGATCCAGTGTTCTTAACCCCTGGGCTATTCTCTAGCTCCTGTTTAAAATCTCTTTAAGAGAACCAAGAGTGCATGCCTATAATCCCGGCCCTTCAGAGGCTAAGGCTGAAGGACACATGGGGGCTGGAGAGACGGCTCAGAGAGTAGGAGAACTCACTGCTCTTGCAGAGGACGCCTGTCAGTTTCCCAGCACCCACAGCAGCCACACAAGCACCTGCAGCTCTAGTTTCAGGGCACTGGGAACCCTGCTCAGTTTCCTAGGATACCTGCATTCACCGCCCCTCCTCCCACACACATCATTTAAAAAGAAGAAGCAGCAGCCAGGCAGTGCAAGTGCATGCTTTGATTCCAGCACTCGGGAGGCAGAGGCAGGCAGATCTCTGTAAGTTTGAGGCCAGCCTGGTCTATAGAGCGAGTTCCAAGACAGTCTCCAAAGCTACAGAAAAACCCTGTCTCAAAAAAACAAAACAACAAAAAATTATAAGAATAATAAAAGTAATAAGAATTTTTGATGAAAGCAAAAATGAAACAAGCCAACAACAAGAGCTGTAGATGTAGTTAAATGTTAAATGGTAGAGTTCCTGCCTATGTGCACAAGGCCATGGGTTTGATTCCCTGCACCAGCGAGAAAACATACAGCAAACTGAACCAGCATCGCAGTGCCACAAGAGTAAAAGTCCTCTCTCTTTGCAGAAGAACGCTCTTCGAAACCCGAAAGAGCAGTCTACTCTTAATCATGGCGAACAGTTCTTACAGTCATTTTCCAGGTTCCTCGAAACAATTCATGATAGAACACATAGAAACGTGGGGGAAATGGGGTTCTCACAACACGGTATCTGTGACAGACAGGAGCGTACCTGTGCTTCCCGACAGCTGTCCCTGGCCGTAGAGGCAGCTCCGTGGTTAAGAGCACTTGCTGTCCTCGCAGAGGACCCGGGCTGGGGCCACTGCCCTCCTGGATCTGTACCTCCCTGGTGCTGGCATTACAGATGTGCGCCATCATACGTGCTTTCCAGGGTCTTCACAACACAGCAGTGATCGCCAGCGCTTTGTCATGTGACAATTATTTCTCTTCACCCTCTCTCTGTACACATTTAAGTGTGTTCAACTAAAGCCAGTATAAGTGGAAATACTAATATTTCCTGCCTGGTCGTCCCGCACCTTCCTGGTGTAGGGCTCCGCGTCAGCGACTACAGACGTAGGGTCTGTCTTTGACATTCTTCTCAGCCTGGTTTGGTTCACTTAAGGATTTTGTGGTTTTGGTAATGCTGAGAACGAACTCAGGGCCTTTATGCAGAGCTGACAAGTACTCTATTCCTGAGCCACGTCCTCAGTCCCTCACTAGGGGATTCTAGGCAGGGGCTCTACCACTGAGCCACACCCCCAGCCCCTCACTGAGGGATTCTAGGCAGGGGCTCTACCACTGAGCCACACCCCCAGCCCCTCACTGAGGGATTCTAGGCAGGGGCTCTACCACTGAGCCACACCCCCATCCCCTCACTGGGGGATTCTAGGCAGGGGCTCTACCACTGAGCAGTGCTCCCAGTCCTAATACTCATTTCTAAAGGAAGCTATACGATGGTCTCTAAGCTTTGTCAGAGCTCAGAGCTCATTGCATAATTTCACGGGAAGTGACATCGTCCTGGTTTCTTCTTCCAGCCTCATATTCCAGCCATTACGACCCCCCTTCATTGTGAGAGTCTGCAGACCAGGCATTTTGAAACATTGTTAATATTTTTCTCTTCTTTGTAAGCTTGGTGTTAACTGGACTCAGAATGGTTTGAGCCTGGACTACATGGGTGGGCTGGCACAGGCACGCACCGGGTAGCTAAGGGTGGCCGCTGGGAAGTTCACGGAGCTTTGAAGCATCAGGCTAGCTTCAGTCTCTTCCTTCGCACCTGCTCTCCTTACCTTGACTTCTCTGTGCTTTCTTCCCCCCATCTCCATGGTTACCTCCTACACCTCTTTCCATTTTCAGGGCTGGAATCCGTGTTGCATGTTCCTGAACGAGGGGCCTGAACAGTCCCACTCTCCAACTGCAGCCCAGAAGCGGTTCAAGCGTGACATCCCCATTGTCTGCACTTTCTCCCATCAGCCGGCCTTGGCTGGTCCTTCCGGCTTGTTTCTCTGGACCTACCTGAGCGCCACTCCCTGTGGAACAGATGGGTCTGGGTGCTGAGACCCAGAAGCAAAGTCTCCCTGGTAACAGGTGTGGAGGCATACCGTCAGGGTTCAGATTCTTTTTTGGGTTCTCTGTAGGAAAAGGTAGAACTCTGAGCCGGAAATGGACGTGTTTCCAGAACCCTCAAGTCCGGATATGTTATCATCCCAATGAAGCGCCGGGCTAGGTTTGTGCTAACACTCTTCAGTTGTTCCCTTCTTGAGAGCTCCCGGATGGGGGTGAGCTTCCCCTCCCCCTCTCCCTCGCCTCCTTCCCTCCATACATTGTGTGTGTGTGTGTGTGTGTGTGTGTGTGTGCATGCATGTGAGTGTGTGTGTGTGTGAGTGTGTGTGTCAGAGGACAACTCCCGGGAGTCAGTTACCACTTTCCGCCGTGTGGGTTCCTGGACTCAAACTCAGGTTGCCAGGCTTTGCTGGTGAGTGTCGTAAACCACTGGGCCATCTCCAGGCCAGGGACAGGGTCTCTCAGTCGAATCCGGAGCTCACAGATCCAGGTAGCTCGCTCCGTGGCTCCAGACTTCTGAGCACTGCGATTACAGGCAGGCCGCTGTGCCCAGCTGGCATCTATGTGGGTTTTGAAGATCCCGACGCCACTATTTATGCTTGCTGCTTGAAGGGCAAGGAAGGGCTTAGCCAATAACTGACTCCCCACACCCTGACTGTGGCTGTGGTGTACACTTAACTCTGAAGCGCTCTCTGACCATTCCTCTATCTTTTTTTGGAGAATGTCTACTGAAGCTCTTTGCCTATTTTTGAAGGTGGGATAATGAAAAAGACCTTTGATGCTGATGGGCCATAATGTACCATCAGATGCATCTCATTACCACAATGTTTCCACAACAAGAGAGGCTGGGAACCAAGTCTAACTGAGAAGCCACATACTCAGCTAAAAGTCATGCCCACTTTGGAGGCTGGAGAGATGGCTCAGTGCTTAGGAGCACTGGCTCCTCTTCCGGAAGATCCAGGTTTGGTTCCCGGCACCCACGTGGTAAGGCATAGCCATCCCTAACTCCAGTTCCCAGGGATCTGCCGCCCCCTAGTGGCCGTCACAGGCAGTGCATGCACATGGTGCACAAACATGCGTGCAGGCGAACCCTCAAACACATAGAACACACACACACACACACACCTATAATATCTTACCCCTGGGGATCAATAGCTGCTACATTATAGCTACACACCAGTAAAAGCTGTTGGGTTCTGTATTTGTTTTTACTTTTACATAGCTATGCCAAAAATATCTCAGAAAACAACAGGGCAGGAAGGGTTTATTTAGCCCACAGGTTCAGAGGGGTCAGCCCATGCTTGGTTGACTTGGCCAGAACATCATGGCAGAAGCAGGGAGTGGAGGCTAATTTTCTCTACCTCACAGTGAACAGGAGTCAGAGAGCCGGGAAGGGACTGGAGACCACACAGAACCTCCAAGTCTGAGCCTCAGTGAACCATCTCCTCTAACTATGCCTCCTCTCCCCGCACTCCGAGAACCTCCCCAGTGGCGTCACGATCCAGAGTTCTCCACATGCTCCTGGGGGGGGGGCACTTCATAGTCAGACGCTATCAGGCACCACTGTGCAGATAGAAACTTGTATAATGCATTTCAAAAACCGCAAGAGAAGACTTGCAGATCCCCACCACAAAGGGTTGGTTCATGGGGATGGAGAGATGCCTCAGCAGCTAAGAGCACCCGCTGCTCTTGGTGGGGGCCGGAGTTTGATTCCCAGCAGGCACCTGGCGGCTTAGAACTGTCTCTTAACTTCAGTTCCAGGGATCTGATGCTCTATCCTGAACTCCAAGGTCACCAGGCAAAAATACCCTCACCCACCCACAAAACAAATAGTAATAATTTCAAAAAAATCTTTAAAAGATTTGGTACACGAGAAGATAAATAGGCTCAATTTATTTAAGCAATATGTAGGGCAGAAATACACCAAACATTTCATAGTATAATTTTATAGCATAATTTTTATGTGGTTTTTTTTTTGGTGTCATTTTTAAATTCTACACTGTGGAAGAGAAGAATGGAGGTTGGCGAATATCAGTTTGTCTGCTTCAATCTACTGAAGGCCGGCGTCAAATGAGGTTTGTGTGATGTGCACTAAGTAGTCTTGTGTCTTCAACTCCTTGTCAGCATCTTAAGAAGCTTGATTAATAAAGCTGGCGTGTGGGAATGACTTGGAATG